TTCAATTAAAAAAAGATCTTTTCATAGCGACCTCTAGGCACCGGCATGGTCGAATTATGCTTGCGTCGGCCTTAAAGCCATACGGGCTCTGGCGCACCCCCCCCCTCGGCCAAAGTATTTGGACGCACTCACGAGACGGGGTTTTCTGTTGTCCCTTCAAACGTCGTTTTCCACCATCTTTAATGTCAGTGCCGGGGGAGGGTCAGGGAATTTTTTTTAAGCCAGGGGGAGGGTCAGCCTCTCTCACGTACCACCCCTCCCCCGATAAATATCGTACGGTCCCTAACCAGGAAACCGGCCGAACAAAACACGGAAACACCTGTTAGAACGTGATACTGTGATGCTAGTAACAGGTTGCGGGTTGAACCGCTTGTTTTTCTGACTCATTGTTTTATTTTGGCATCGTGTTTGTTTTTATCATCTTATCTTTAGAACATGACGTGTATTGTACTCTTGTGGTATTTTTTTAGATCATCCCCACGGTCAAGGTTTCGTGGCTTAATCTCCAAGTAGATGTCGGAAGGCAAACTGTTGGGAACACTACATACTATTAACAGAGCATTTTTTTAAATATTCCATCATGTAATCACAAGACGTGGTGACGATACACTCATGCCGCCACCAACACGGGACAATACAATGCTCATTTTCACCTGAGCGAAGTGAGGAAAGTCGTGTAAAGTGCCTTTCCCAAGGGCACAAGATCGGTGGCATGTCAGAACTAGAACCCGAGACCTCTTGGTTTTTTTATTTTATTCACATTTATTTTTCGAGGATTGGGCAAAAAGTTATAAAACTTATCTTGGCCCTCTCCTCACACATAAAAGGAAACAATAAGATAAAGTAATAATAATAACAGTAAGAAAGAACAAAGGTACATAATGAGCTGGTGTACAAATCAAAATCAATCAACTAAATCAAACAAAACGTCCTGTCTGCAAAATAAAGTTGAAAACCACATCAAATATTTTACAATTGTTGACAAACGACAATGAGGGGTTACCCCTGAGAATGGTTGAACACAAAGTGTTGTCAGTGACGTTGTTTGTGTCAAATGGCAGGATGTTATTTAGAGATGATAACATGTCAATGCGTTCGTCAGTGTACAGTGGGCAGTGTAGGAAGTAGTGTACAGCTGTTTCATTGGAGTGACCACATTTGCACATAGGACTGGGCACACATTGATGTTGGAACAGGTGAAAGTTTAACTGACTGCGGTTAAGTCTGAGTCTGGTAAGGTGGATAGCTGGGTTTCTCGGACCATGAGAGAAGTGAGGTTGAGTGTGAGGGCTGTGATAAAACGTCTCCAACTCTTTTTTAAAGATGGCAATTGATGTTGATGCTCGTGTAGTTAATGGCAGGTTGTTCCAGGAAACAATGGAAGTAGGCAGAAAAGATCTTCTGAATTTCTCAGTTCTAGCAGGAATTAAGACGTAATTCTGATCGGTACGGAGACTGTAGGGGGTGGAGTCACGGGTTTGTAGTGGTACCAATTCCTGTAAGTATTGTGGTGCTAATTCTTTGATAATTTTATAAAAATTTACAAGTTTGTGCTTTTGACGTCTACATGACATAGTTTCCCAGCCAACCTCAGACAAGATGCTATTACTATTTGTTCCTCTCATTGCACCAGTACATATCCGAGCTGCATTGAGTTGAACAGATTCAATTAAGTCAGAGTCTTTACCAGTTAATCCGTCCCAAACAACGTCGGCATACTCCAGTAATGGCCTTATCATTACTTTATATAAAGTTTCAAGAGTTTTTCGTGGAACGAAGGATACTATTCTTTTAAAAGGTTAATCCGTTTCATCGCGGGAGCAGTTATAATTGAAACATGTAATGACCATGATAGATTAGGGGTAAGATGTAGGCCGAGGTGTTTGTGGGAAGGGACTTCCATTAACTGAACTCCTTTAAAATACAATGGTGGGTGAGCAATTTTTGTACGTTTGGATGAAAATGTAATAAGTTCAGTTTTGAGTGGGTTAAAGGTCACCAGCCATTGGTCTGCCCAGTTTTCCACTATTTTGAGATCATGGTTTAGTCTATCAGCTGAAATAACAGGATCTCTAACAACTTCGGTCAGTGCAGTATCGTCGGCGAATAGACGGCCGTCTGTTACCAAGTCATCCACTAAATCGTTAATAAAAACGAGAAAAAGCAATGGGCCTAACAGCGAGCCCTGTGGCACGCCCGCATCAACAGGCGCCCAGTCAGAACAGGTGCCGTTAATTACGACACGCTGTTGTCGGTCGTTTAAGTAAGAAGAAATCCAAGCTAAAAGAGATCCGGTTATTCCTAGCTGCTCTAATTTGAAAATCAACCCCGCGTGCCAGACTTTATCAAAGGCTTTGGATATATCTAGGAAGACAGCGCGTGTATCAAGTCCTTTGTCAAGTGCAAGATGCACATTGTGAGTTAGATATGTCAATGAATTTATTGTGGAGTCCCCAGGGGAAAACCCAGAGTTCCGATCAGTAAGCAGTTTGTTTTCCAGGAGGTAAGAAGACAGTGGCATGTAAACAATTCTTTCAAAGACTTTCGATATACAACATAAAAGTGAAATAGGCCTGTAATTTATCTTGTCTTGTTTGTCGCCTTTCTTGTGAATTGGGACTACATGCGAACGCTTCCAAATTGTTGGAAAACAACCACCTTGAACTGATAAGTTAAACAACTTGGACAATGGTTCAGCCAAAGATGGGGCAATTTGTTTAAGCAGTCTATTACCTATACCATCAGGCCCTGTGGCCTTACTTATGTCAAGGTTACACAGGACTTGATACACTTCGGCAGGAGAACAAGTAATACAATCAAGAGTACACTCAGTCCTGGGTACAAATTGGGGAAGAGAGACACCCATTGTGTTTAGGTATGTTTGTGACGCAAAGTACTGATTAAAAATGTCAGCTTTGGCCTTATCGTCGGATATAACACATCCATTATCAATCAAAGATGGTATTAGTTCTTGGTCTTGGTTCCGAGACGAGCACTCTGCCGCTACGCCACACGACCCCACATTAACGCCAGCCCCACATTTCGAGGGGCTGGCGAACAGCTTAGTAACTTAACTTACTTGAGTCTCTGGGAGTTGACAAGATTTTAAGCCTTTGCTTGCTTGAGTGATAGGTTGAAAGTTCCCACCCACGAATTTTACCTTCCGGTGACGTTTGAGCTTTGCTCCGTCTAAAACAATTATAGTGAAAGTGACGTAAGGCAAAACGTTTGCGGGGGTGTAGCAAGGAAGGACTTTCGACTTTTCAAGTTAGAGAGGGGTGAATTTTTGCTTTAATAATGAAATACCTTTATTGTACATTCATGCCACGACGGGCTAGGTACAAGTTAAGATATAACAGACACATAAACGTATATAGAAAAGTGGAGACAAAAGATAGGGTGGAATTTGGCCGTTTTTGTGTCACATGTGTGCCATTGCTGTTTATGTATAGGTGGTGCACATGTACTGTACTGTATGACCTGTATCTGTACAATTTTGTATGTAATTTAACGGTGTTCAAAAATGTCCCGGTTGTATGCGAATATACACCTGTACTGGACTCGTAGAGAGTGACAGAATGTGTTTATTTCAACCGTCCTTGTCAGATCATGGAGCGATAATACTCTCCAATTAATTGCAAGCAGAGATTTTGGGGTATGATCGTTAGCTTTTTATATATGGCCGTTTTTTGTCGCTAATCCCACCTTCTCTGGCTAATGGATACTGCCTGGCCAATTTGATACTGTCTTTTTGCCACCGAGAGGGATCTGCTTGGAGATTAGAGCGATAATACAGCCCCACGATGGCCAGATAAGTATACAAGTGGGTTTATAATTCTCGGTCCAAACTCTGAGAGTTATTCCTTGACAGACTCTAAAGGTGTGTAAATTCGTAAAAACACGACACTTTGAGCGTCGAACTGATCTTTGGCTAATCTTAAAGATAACAGCCGACTTTTCGACCCAAGGTGCGCCGGTAGACTTCTCAGACACCCCTGCCTTACCCCAGCGAAACCCACTTCCGCGAAAAGCCGTGTCGTCAACTTTCGGTGGTTTCCACCTATGCAAATGAACCATTGTCTGTGGTCGGGTCAGGTAACCGCAACGAAACCGCGTAATCTGAGGGGGGACAGGGTCACGAAAATAAAAACATAATTTACCCACAATTTTACACACTAGAATGCAGATAGCGTTGACTTAGATATATATTTGAAGAAATTATAGCGTTAAACTGTATAATTGTAGGTTTTAGCATACGCATTTCCCGTTTTTTATGATCTTAACACTTCTCCCCTCTTTTTGAATGGTTCCGTCTTAAGACCCTGTGTTTGTTGACCCGATACTAACAAGACAAAGGCCCTCGCCTCGCCCACTTTGTTTGCGCTTCCTCGTGTCGAGGTTGGGTATTTTCCCGCCTCTTTTCTGTGGTCCAAAATTAATTTTGGACCACTTTTGCTTCCGCCGGAACTCTACAATTATCTCACGACCTCACATGGAACACCCGTGCGCTTTCTTCAGGTGTAACTCTCCCGGCAAGACGCCTTGAAGTGTTCTTTCTACCCACCAGTAGCTTTCTTCTCGCAGGGCAAATATTATGAATGAGATCGCGTACAACAAGGTACAGGCAGACGGCGCGGAGAGACAGATCCGTGTTCTGAGGTGGGTAACAGTTGGGTTCAAACGCCAGCTCATCTTAATAGTCTCTACCAGACTAACTACGCTGGCTATATACAGGAGAATATATAAGTTGCCAGGGGAGTTCGGCCGCCTTGTAGGTTTGACTGGGCGCGCAGTTTGGAGGGAAAGAAACTACCTCCCCGCGGCCGGACTCCCTTGGCCTATTTTACTCTCTTTTTTTTACCGAATTCTACGATCCGTATTCCCGTAGAAAGGCCTGGTGGAGGCTATTTTAGTGGTGTCGTAAGCTTGCTGCCCGGGTTCGATTCCCGGGAGTCAGGCCAGGCGTCTTCCTGTTACTACTCGCTCCTGTTTGTTCCAGGTGGACCGTCGCGGGTCTGTTTGCCGCTGTTGTCTGCCTGACCGGGGGTTTTGTCTACGTGACCGTAACTCTCTTCAACAAACTGGACAGCCTGGAGCGGGCAGGGCCATGGACGGGACACGACAGGGGAGGGCTGACACCGGGTTCTAGTCCCGGGGGCACGGGTTCTAATCCCACCATTCAGGAGGTAAGCAAAGACTTTAATCTTGTTGGATTGGGCAGGGGATGGGGCATGGGCCGGTGGGCACGGGTTGGCACTAGGAGACACGGGTTCTAGTCCCGGGGGTATGGGTTCTAACCCCAGCATACAAGTCATTACAAGAGGTAAGGGAAGACTTTCTGATACCTTGAAAATGATACTAAGACTTAAATCTCAGTAGTTTTTAGTGGGAGGAAGATCATAACATTACTGAACAATATTACGACCGGGGAGGGTTGACACAAGGGGACACGGGTTCTAGTCCCAAGGGCATGGGTTCTAATCCCACCATTTAGGAGGTAAGCAAAGACTTGAATCCTAAAGCAGATGTTGGGATTGGGCAGGGGATGGGGCATGGACCGGTGGGCATGACCGGGAGGGTTGGCACTAAGAGACGAGGGTTCTAGTCCCGGGGCATGGGTTCTAATCCCAATACAGGGTGTAAGCAAGGCTTGAATCTCGTAACCTTACTGAACATTGTATCCTCCCAGCTGATCAGTGAATTTAAGGACACGCCAATTGTATCTTGAAGTTTGGACTAAACGTTTTAGAGTTTCTGTCTCACCTGTTAGCCGATCTTTTCTCGGTGGATCTTCGTTCTTGTGACATATTTTACCAGCTCCCCAGACTTGCCCGGGGGCACTAGGGTGAACGAACTTTGACAAAGTGCAGCAACAGTTGGTTTGTGTTATCTTATAGCGCCTGAGTTGGCACTTTGTGAGATCAGCTATCAGACTTGTCAGACTTGTTTTCGTCTGCGGCACGGACTAGCCTCTAGCCGCCGTATCAGGTTCACGACAATTTTGGTCGGGGGTAGTACATTGTTGTTGTAGTGGTAGCAGGTGGTAGTAGTAGTATGGTAGTAGTAGTAGTTAGTAGTAGTAATAGTAATAGAAGTTGTAGTAGTAGTAGCAGTAGTAGTAGTAGTAGTAGTAGTAGTAGTGGAAGTAGTAGTAGTAGTGTAGTAGTAGAAGTACTAGTAATAGTAGTAGTAGTAGAAGTAGGTAGTAGTAGTAGTTAGTAGTAGTAATAGTAATAGAATTTTTTAATAGAAGCACACTAACACACACACACACACACACTCACACACACAAACACACTACACACACACACACACACACACACACACACACAGGCACAAACACACTCACACGTGACACACGCGCGCGCGCACACACACACACACGCACACATCGAAAACAATCCCCCCGTACGAAAACTTGCGTATACGTAGGTAAAGCATCCTCGCCGTCTGCTAGCGAGGCTACGTCTGTCGAAACTGGCTGGGTTTCAAGAGCCTTTCCTGCTGTCGTGCTTGTGTGTGTGTTTAACCTCCCACAGGTCTCACCACTGACAAGGTTAACATCACAAACAACTCAATCACTTACTTGGGGTCCGCATGCCTTTTTCCGTAGAGCGTAATCGGTCGTTTTAACCCTACGTAGACCGTTAAGCGCATTTGCGCTCTAATTCAAGGCAGAGCGTAATTGGCGCATGTTGCGTAGACCGTATTCGCCGTTTTAATTCTAATGCGTTGTAGCCACTTGGAATTTTTCGTAAAGCGTAATCGAGAGTTTTCAATATTTAGCGTAGAGCGTTGTCGGGGATCCCCCTCCCCCCCATGCAGGCCCCTTACTTCTTTCCAAAGTTGTTCACCCAGTTAGTAAGGTAACTTTTAATAAATGACAAAAACTGAAAAACTCTCATGAGATCTCCGTAACGAATTATCACAAATGGGTTTGAAAGATGTGATCTTCGTGAGACCAACCTAGAACCAGACATTATGAAATTTTAGACTTGGCTCACACATACAAGGGACCTACAGTTTACTGATTATGCCGTAAATTACTTCCTTGCTATCGCAAGCTTGTCCTCTACTTTAGTCCCCCCGAAAGTCAAAGCATTCCATGATTTTCGTGAGACCCATCCAGGCCTAATCCAGACCCCGGCATCAACAAATTTCGGTGTTGACTGGTTCTATTGTTACTGTATAATTATTTCTACTAAACTAGTTCCAACTTGGCAAATACACACAAAATACTTCGTGCAAAGCCACAAAGTCGTTTAGTCTAAAGTCCACATAGACCCCGTCATTATGAATTCTCCATTGTTAATGTTTCTGGCTGACTTACTAGATTGTAAAGACAGATTTATGTACTTGTTTGCTCCCTTAAATGTAGAGCAGACTCGCACGCAAATAGCCTCCGTAGCAGGCTTATAGATCTGAGGGTTTCGTGGTCTTCGGCTCTTTTCTGATTAGCCCAGTTCTAAAAAAAACGGGGGTAATTCAACCAGGCCGGCTATGTTGTCTATATGCAATCAGAAAATAGCACATAAAAGATCCCAAAGACCCCCAAAACCCCCTGTTTTTGGCATGCTTTGGAGGCTAGCACGCCAAGTGTTTCTCCAGACTTCAGAACTGATAACAGGAGCACGCAGCGCACTGTGTTTCGGCCCCCGGCACTTCCTTGTCAAGATTAGGTTACCGACTGGTGTGTAGTAGTCTCCACCAGGCTCCTTTGCAGGCTGAATAAATAGTAGAAGTCGGCCTAAAAAGAATGTAGCTGGCCAGGGGAGTTGGCCGGCCATAGAGGGTCCCTTTTGCCTGCATATGCTAATCTCTTGGCTAGGTACATTCTTTTTTTACTGATTTCTACTATTTATTCAGCCTGCAAGGGAGTCTGGTGGAGACTAGGCGCTTCGTGCAGTCTCAAGGAAGAAACTTTGACCTCCTTTTTTTATAATACGCAACAGGTCTGAGCACAATTAGACAAGAAAACTATTTCAAAAAGTTATATACTAGACTTATCTGAAAATACACAACACCCCTCGCTGTGAAGGTTGGTGACCTTGATTACGTGACAGCCCTGACGTTTTGTTGTTTTGTTTTTCACAGATCGTGACAGAAATCTTGAAGAACGAAACTCTCTGCAGGGAAAAACATACAGGTGAGATATGAAGGATCTCTCCCCTTTCTGTTTCGTCTGTATTGTTTCAGTGAAACCCCCCCCCCCCTAGCCTTCTGATAAGCCCGTAAAATAAATAAACAACGAACGTCTCGTCCTAAGAACTGCGACCCCTTCCAGTAGCATCTACCAGGATTGGGGAGGCGGCTGGAAAGAGTAGAAATTGTCCAAATAGAGCTATAACAATTGCCAGGGGTGTTGGTGCGGCAAAATATACTCTCTCGCGGAACAACTCCCCCGGCATGTTATCTGTCTATTTGACCAACTTCTACTCTTTTGAGCCGCCTTACGAAGCCTGGTAGAGGCTACCCTTTCAGTAGAACGCATGTTGGGTGGATTGACACGGTTGTTACTGTGCTTTGATCAGGTGTTGATACTTATGAATGAATATTTTCTTTTGGTAGCCTGGTAGAGCATGTTGGGTGAATTGACTTTGCTACTGTGTTTTGATCAGGTGTTGATACTTATGAAAGAATGTTTTCCACTTCTCAGACCACCACAGAAGAAGAGAGTTCGTGCCACAGGGTCCGTTCACCCTGCATAATGACACCAGTCAGACGTACCTGGCCAAACCCATGGCGCACCTCACGGGAAAATCCGCCTCAGGCCGCCACAGTAAGATTTTGACTCTTTGATTGTTCATTTTACATAAATGTGCGGAGTTTTTTTTTGCTATGTTTACCGAAGTTAAACATATTGTTGTTGCTCTGTTTCTGGTAACTCGTAACTGTTACTGTAGCAGACACCCTCTCGTGTTAGACTACATTATGTAGCAAGTGGCAGGACAGTTGGGGAGGGGGGTTGCTGGTCACCACAATATATGAATGTGTTTGAGTAAGAATTAACAGAGCAGTTTCTTGAGTAACTTTTTTGGCGCCTCTTGTTCGAAATCTTTAGGCTCTGCCAGGCTTCGGGAGGCGGCTGGAAAGAGTAGAAATTGGCCAAATAGACAGATAACAATTGCCAGGGGAGTTGGATCTACAGCATGGACTCCCCCGGCATATGTTATCTCTCTATTTGGCCAATTTCTACTCTTTCCAGCCGCCTTCCGAAGCCTGGTAGAGGGTACGAAGTATTTTCCTGTCGTTAACAAGTGCGATTTTCCACCCCACAGCTAAGAGGCATGGCCGGGGAGAAACCATGAAGATCCAGACCTGGGAAACTCGGCAGGGCCTGGCCACCATCGCCAACGGCATGTCACACAGGGACGGGGCCATCCGGGTACCTGTGGACGGACTGTACTATGTCTACAGGTACGTAGGGGACAGAGGGGAAGAAATCTTTATTTTCTTGTTGCCATGGCAACGAGCCTAGTGACTATCGCTAACGGCATGTCACACAGGAGGTACCTGTGGACGGACTGTACTATGTGTACAGGTAGGGGGCACAGGGGGGGAGGATTCTTTTATTATCTATATCTTTATTTTTGTGTTGCCATGGCAACGGGCCTAGCAACCATCGCTAACGGCATGTCACACAGGGATGGGGCCATCCGGGTACCTGTGGACGGACTGTACTATGTCTACAGGTAGGGGGGATGAGAAGAAACAATGTAGTCTCTGATACGTCGGTGAAGGTTAGGCATCCAGGTAATAAGGTACGCCAAAAAGTAGTTACTCATACAGCAACTGGGTATGATTTTGGAAACGGTCAGACGTTTCAGGTAGCATCAACTACCTTTCGTCAGTTGCACTGGAGAACCTGTGCAGAAAGGCAGGTTTATAAGCATATCCAGTTGCTTGAGTAACTGCTTTTGGCGGATAGTCTTTGATATCAGACTCCAATGGGATGTTGGAAAGCGGAAACATTTGGGGAATAGACTGAATAATAGAGAAGTACAGGGAGTACAGTTTGCCCTTGGCCGGTTCACCTTTTTGGCATGTGATCCAGTCTACTTGTATTTTGCAATTTTCTACTAGAAACACGCGAAAAACAGTTACTCAAGCTCTTCTCATGATCCTCTACTGGAAACACTTTGGACTCTGATAGCCACTAGAAAAAAAGGGTTAGAATGTGTCGATTGTCCTCAGAATGAAGCAAAACGCATAGCTATATATAGATCTATAGTGCAAAGCAGCCTCTCTACGGTTTTTGTTCATAGCCACTTTTACTCTTTCCGGTTAGTGTGTTGGATTATTTCCACCAGTTCTCACCTCACCCATTCTGTGTCCCCACAGCCAGCTGTATTTCCGGCACGTGCGCCCCCATGCGGACGACGGGAGTCCTGCAGCAGACACAGGTGACCATCAGCTGCTGCACTCCACCTACAAGAAAAGCGCCACCTACCCGGAAAAGCAGGAAATCATGAAGAGCGCTAGAACAAGGTACGTTTATTATGTTTACCGAAGAAAAACATATTGTATTTGCTCTGTTTCTTCTTCCGTTCGATTCCTAACACTGACCTGGTCAATGACTTGCACCAGATCGTCTGTCACCATGGTAACTAGTGTTGGGTTACATCATGTTGCAATTTTATAGCAGGAGGGATTTAGACTCCTGTCTGACTCCACAGTCTGCCCATGTGAAAATAGGCTCCGCCCATAAAGCGTCAACAGAACATATGCGTGATGTCCAAGATATTTTCTGCATTCCCAAACGTGTTCCATTCTAAAATATGATTTGGAGTACTACGAAAAGGAATTCACCTGTATTCCAAAACGTGGTCCTAAACACGTTCCAAAACACGTTTTGGAATGACACGACGTAGAATGCATGCTCTATTGCATTCCAAAACGTGGTCCATTCCAAATCATGTTTCGGAATAGCACGTTTTTTAAATGCTACAATCCTAACCCATTTATTCTTTGCTGCTTTGCTGTAGATGTTGGAGCAAAGACAGCCAGTACGGTCTGCGGAGTGTTCCAACTTAAACTTGAACTTGTACAGAATTGTCACGCCTTTCTTTAAAGTTATTAGATGTGCCCCCGAGGCGTCGGTAAAAACGTATGCTTGTTGTCCAAGATCTTCACACGTTTTTCCTTACTGCTTTCCTGTAGATGTTGGAGCAAAGACAGCCAGTACGGTCTGCTGTCCAGCTACCAGGGCGGAGTGTTCCAACTCCGGGCGGGGGACAGGCTCTTCGTACAAGTCAGTAACGTGGCCATGGTCAGCTTCGAGGAGGCGGCCAGCTACTTCGGCGCCTTCATGATATAGAGCGTCAGCGGCCATGTTGGTGTCCCTGATTTGCATACAACTTGTAAGTGAATCGTAGCGTTATTCTTAGACAGTTGGGCTTTTCTGACACTACGAAATAGCAAATGTTCCAAGCTCACAGAACCAGGCTTGAGAGACCAGGAGAATGCATCAAAGCTAGCTATGATTGACTTTATGCAAATTAGGACACCAATATGGCGGAAAGTCGGCAACGTCGCCTTGCTATTTCGGCGCCTTTGTGATATAGAACATTAGTCGCCATGTTGGTTGCACTGTTTGTATGTTAGTACTTCGTAGCTCAAGTTTTCTGACAGAGCATGGAGTTAGAAGGACAAGGTACTCTTTTCACAAGAAAAGATCGTTGATTTTTATTTCCCATATGATGCACAATGTAGAACTATGATTTGAAAGAAAAAAACATACCAGCAATTCGAGAGGCACTTTTCAGTAAAACAAATGTTAAAAATCGGAATATTTCTCTAAGTAGAGAAATGTCAGGCAGTATTGGTCCTTTTTTACCAAGTTTTGTAAAGTTTTGTAAATATGTACAGAATTCCTAGAATTTTAACAGCTTATAGAAGCTTTTCTAACTTCCGTTCTTTTGAATGACAAGCATATCTTTCTACTTAAATAGTCAAGAGCAACCTTGTGTATATTATGTACATACATTTTAATGCCATTCTAGTGTTCAGGGCTCTCTTTGTACCAGCTTTTATCTTCAATTTAGAACAATTTAGCTACATGGACTACTAAAAGTATTAGTCTAGTATATTTTTCAATAATTACAAAGAGGATATGTCCAAAGTGTGCATGTACCACAGCTGCTATGCCTACACTGCCAAAGAAATACATGATACACGCTTTTATATCATTTGTACGGATTAACTTGACCAAATAAAACATTTCGTACATGGAATATTGTCATGTGTCGTTACTATAGCATCTTTATGAAAATGTGAATTTAGCTTCCTAGTTGTAAATATTCTTTATTGACACAACAAAAAGTACAGTGAGTGTGTGTATGGTCTTCTACAACTAAAGATCTAACAAAGTGGGTTCCGAGTCAAGCACTCTGTCACTACGCCACACGACCCCACGCCACCTCCTTGTGTCCTTGGTAAATGCCACAATTAGACGCAAGTTGCCCATGGGCAAACGTCGTTTGCAGAATTATTTAATAGACTAGTGGCGTGTTCCCGCCATTAATTCTACCTTTGTGAAGATCAAACGAGACAACAAAGAATAACACCTTCAGGGGAATCCCCAATAAACTAGTATGACGTCTCCTTGGCAACGACCAATAGGAAGCAAGTTGCCCTTACTTGGGATCGATTACCGAGAAGAACGTTTCGATGGAGTCAAAATGGCGGCTAAAAGTTCCTTCTACTTTTAGTCAATGTTTCGCTTGAAAAGAAATACTAAAAGCAGACACCTGACTTCATTTACGAATCCTCTGTGCCCTGCACACACCACCTAAAAGATCTAAAACAAACAAAGGATTAGACTCAGATCTTAACAAAACAACCACTTGCAACGTTAACCTGCTTTGTGGGGTCGTGTGGCGTAGCGGCAGAGTGTGCGACTCGGAACTAAGTCCCGGGTTCGAGTCCTGACATGCCACCGATCTTGTGCCCTTGGGAAAGGCACTTTATACGACTTTCCTCACTTAGCTCAGGTGTAAATAAGTACTGTCCTGTCATGTACTTGTCCCCTGTGTTGGTGGCGGCATTAATATAAGTTGAAAAAACTTGAGTGTTTTTTCAACGTCTGGTGATTACATGTTGGAATAAAAAAAAACTTCTATGACAAGGGGGAACCCCCTTACCTCATCGACTATTACGTTTCAAATACATGTAGCATTGGCCAATGGGCGTAAACCTTTTCTATACACGGATCCTTCAAAGGGTGTGTTGTCAACAACAAAAAAACAAAATGCTTCTGAAGCGGGGAACCGTTTAACGGAAATATTTAGTTCCACTTTGTGTGAGGAATGTTCCAGCTTGAAAACCACTATCTTACGATAGATACCTGGCTTCAGCTTCTGTACTGGCATAAGAACTGTGTGGACCATGGGCGGACCGGATCCCTACTCCAGCCTTAGACAAACCGACCTGACGGATCTGAAGACCAAACTGTCGGTGCTGCACGCAGCGGTGGTGTTACTGGTGGTTCTAGTGGTGGGCTTGCTGCTGGCGCTGGTTTGTGTGACCGTGTTTCTTACCGAGAGGATACAAGACGCGCAAGACGTGGCCGAGGAACTCGGTTTACCTGGCGTTAGCGTCTTAAAGGGAGTGCCGGGCCGGGGGAAGACAAGTGTTGTGGAGTACGTTACTGGGGTAAGTTGGTTTCATTTTCATACTCTCCAAGCAGAGGTTTGTGTTTTGGCTTATTTTGGGCGTGTTTTTTATGCTTTTTTTATCGGGCTTTTACACAAAAAGATACCAGTGCAAAAAAAAAAAGAAAGCCCGATAAATAAAGCCTAAAAACACGCAAAATAAGCCAAAACCTCTGCTTGGAGAGTAACATTTTTATACAGGTAGCCTGGTTGCCTGGTTGCCAGACCCATAGCACGCCAGACGTACTGTCATACATACTGAGGGGGTGGGGGGGGGTATAATTTCCTCGGGGGCATGTTGGCCCTGGAGCCGAGGAACTGGCCTGTGTGGGCCATGGAAATAGTCTGGCTCTCAGGCAATAAAGAACAAACACGTTGACGGGCAGATTCAAGCCCTGTTGTTAAGAGTAGTAGGTGTTTCGATATATTTCCTATACTGTACGATTTGTATGTCCAACACACCTTCGAGACATAGTGTGAATTCCGAGAACGATACATGCTCGAAAACCTCAACCATTGGTACAGAAACAGGCCCGATTCAGCTCAGCAACTCTGTACACTTTGGCAGTACAACTAACGTGTGTTTTTGTGTACTGTGCGGAAAGTGAAAGGGGTAGTCAAGCTTGACAAATTGAATGTAAACCGCCGCATGGCCCTGACTTAATACCTTAAATTAGTGGTGAGCTCAGTCAACATTTGCGGTATCGTGGTCAGTTCCTCTTTGTAAGTGACACGGTTTCGATGGGAAAATATCAGCCAACAAAGGTAAACGCTGGTATTTTGAGGCTAAGTAAACAAAGGACTACTGTACAAAAGAGTTTCAGGTCAACACTTGCGGTATCGCGTCAGTTCCTCTTTTTGCATAGCCTGAAGGCAGGAGGCAGAGCGGCAGCCTCCGTAGCAGGCTTATAGAACTGGGTGTTTGGTGGTCTTCGGCTGTTTTCTGATTAGCCCAGTTCTATAAAAAACGGAGGTAATTCAACCAGGCCGGCTATATGCAATCAGAAAGTAGCACATAAAAGTTCCCAAAGACCATGAAGACCCTCAAAACCCCCGGTTTTTGGCATGCTATGGAGGCTAGCAGAGCGGAGGAACGGAGCGGAGAAACAGCGTTCACGGATGGATCCCAGGCTACTTTTTGCATCGATCTTTGTTCAAAACACATACAACAAACAAATTCCTACATGCCAGATATGTAATGGGGTTAGGTCGAACTCTTTTCTGTAACACGGTTTCTATCAACATAAAGCATTGGGAAATATCAGGCTACTATGGTCAATTGCAACACAGGTATGTTGACTTTGTGTAAACAAAGGACTATTTAAGTGACTACATATAAAGGGGGTCTCGGGTTGCCCTTGGGGCTTGTAACGTGTAGTTTCGTGCCTGAACATGTCGGAGTGACGCAGTTAGAAAATGGCTACAGAAGCCCCTAGGAGGCACTGCCACAATTGACCTTAGATGATGATCCACCTACCAAATATCATCACAAATCCATCTGTACCTTCTTGTGTTTACCTGTTTAACTTTTCCATTTCCATCCCTTCTCACCACAGATCATTGAGCAAGTACTGGGGAACCGCACTAGTGATGAGAAAGGTATGTACGGAATACTACTGAAATTGGAACTCAATTGTTGAAGAGTTCATTAGTCACGTAAAATTAACATATTCTTCAATCAGTGACTGTTTTTAAAAGGTATAAACAAGTTCTTCCAAATTTTTGATGTCGACTCTACATCTTGATCACGAAAATTATTTTATCATCTTAACAGACAAGGAAGACACGGGAGATTTTCTCCTTCAGGGACCGTTCTATAAGAAAGACGGGGAAGGAGAACATACCTTCCTGGCCAAGCCGATGGCCCACCTCACCGGATCAACACTGGACCGTCCCCGGTCGCTTGGTATGTCCATCTATTCATATCATCACTCACTCACTCTCACTCACTCACTCACTCTCTCTCTCTCTCTCTCACACACACACACACACACACACACACACACACACATTCTTTTTCTCTCTCTGTCTTTCTCTCACTTTATCTCTCTTTCTCTCTCACTCACTCTCTCTCACCCCTCTTTCTCTATCTCTTTCTCTCTTACTCTCCCTCTCTCCTCCCCTCCTCTCTCTTCTCCCCTCCTCTCCCTCTCTCTCTCTCTCTCTCTTCTC